TAAAATGTCACATTAGTTGCACTAGTGTCCTTTTACCCAACAGTACAGTAGTGCCGGTCAATAAAGCTTAATTTAAGAGGCCGGGTCAGAAAACTCGACTCAGGTAAATGCAAATAATGTAAATGAGTACCCACATACCCCTCGAGGAAGAAAGCCCTCATTCTCCTCCCCCATCCGCGCGCGCGCGCACTCACATACACACGCACGCGCGCACACACACACACACACACACACACACACACACACACACACACACACACACACACACACACACACACACACACACACGAACTACTGGTAATGCATATTAGTCCTTAGTATTCCCTGAGGAACAGGCCAAAAAATAGAATAATTATAATTATATAATAATCGTTATTACTATTTTTAAATTCATGAAGCTCCGAACTCTGGAGGAATGGGAAATAATCAGGATTAAACCAAGGAAGGAAGGGAAGCTGAAATTCTTTATATCAAGAGTCGATCACTATCATAAAGGTACGCATTCCTTGAAGGTTGTATGACACTATACACATGGAAATACTGGTTCCAAACCTACAGAGAAACAAAGCCTTAAAAGAAGGGGAGGCAAATAAAATGTGCAAGAAGAGTCCTTCGTTACGGTAAAGTGCAATAAGTACATCAGGAGGAAGCTGTAAACAAAGGGGCCAGGGCTTTTTTAATACTAGGAGGAAGCTGTAAACAAAGGAGCCAAGACTTTTTCAATACTAGGAAGAGGCTGTAAACGAAGGGGCCAGGGCTTTTTTAATACTAGGAAGAAGCTGTAAACAAAGGAGCCAAGACTTTTTCAATACTAGGAAGAGGCTGTAAACAAAGGGGCCAGGGCTTTTTTAATACTAGGAGGAAGCTGTAAACAAAGGAGCCAAGACTTTTTCAATACTAGGAAGAGGCTGTAAACGAAGGAGCCAGGGCTTTTTCAATACTAGGAAGAAGCTGTAAACAAAGGAGCCAAGACTTTTTCAATACTAGGAAGAGGCTGTAAACGAAGGGGCCACGTTTTTCAATACCTGCTTCAAAGATGCCAAGATTTCAAATACCGAGACTGTACAACGAAGGCCGTTTTTATCAGGAGAACTGTGGATCTGCAGCTTCAACTAGGAAATGAACGAAGTGCCAGGTTTCATCGTCCTTTCAAAAGTCAAACGCATCGCCCAGTGCAGTGGATTTTATCAAGTCAAACAGATCTTTGACTTGACAGAGCCCACTGTGGGTGAAACGTTGTCAATAAAGAATCGCATTACACTGAATGCATTTTTTTTTATCGTGTCGTTATTTTATGACATGCGATATGAAACGACCAATAACCTATCAAGCTGCGAGCAGTGATCCTCGAAACAATCCTAGGGCACCTCAAATACCACTTATCATCCCTATCCCCAAGTGCAACATCTGTTGGTTTAAATAATAGTGACTCCAGTTTTACTGGACCTAAACCTTTAAAGTTAACGTAATAATTATACCTACAGTGGAATGCTTGACTCAATCAATATCTTCACGGCCTTATAAAAATCTTCCAGCTCAGGCTGATAGCTCTTAATACTCCACCAAAAAAAAAAAAAAAAAAAAAAAAAAAAAAAAAAAAAAAACTTATGCTACGTGATGGATTATAACAGGGAAACGCAACTTTTGTTCCTGTTACATAAATATCATAACACAGCAGACTACTAGCACACTGATAACAGCCCAACTTTTTGAATAAAAATAAAGCAGATAAGAGTGAACAACCACACATCGTCCCAGATAACCGTGCGTGCGCACACTGTTATCAGTCATAGGTGTTCTGTAGTCTCAACCTAGAGAAAATATCACATCGACAACATATATGTAAGAATCACCAACATTGTCATTTTAACAGTCCCTGAAGAAAGGTGTGAAAAGATTACAGAAACAAAAAAAAAACATGAATTGACTGGGATGTGCCAGCGAGAAAATAATGAAATTGATATATATATATATATATATATATATATATATATATATTATATATATATATATATATATATATATATATATATATATATATTATATATATATATATATATATACATATATTATATACATAAATATTTATATACAATATATAAAATTGTCAATATACAATATTGTTTAAATATATATATATCATTTCTAATAAATATATATTTTCTTATAACTATGATAATAATTATATATTTCATTATTATTATATATATATATAATAATATATATTACTAAATTAATATATATTATAATATTATATATAATATATATTATATATAATATAGATGTATCAGATAAAATGTTGTGCCAAATAGGTAAAATTGGTCAATAAGCAAGAATTCGTTTAAAATTAAGTCCTTTCTAAAAAAAAATTTCTTATAAGCTTGAAGATATATTTTTTTCATTATGCTAATGTAAAAATTAATAATTTTGTACCAGGAGAACCTTAAAAACTTACCTAACCTTATTATAACAAGCTCAATTTAATTTAGCTTAATCCAACTAAATATATTTTAGATAAGTTTACAATAATTTAAAAAAAAAAAAAACACACAATGAAATATGTTTTTTTACGTTAGGTGCAGAATGATTTTTTGCAAAATTATTGCATGCATAAATGTTCGCTTGCCTTACTCGGCAAGAAGAGCGTTGCTATTTAAGCCAAAATTGCAAGTTTTACCTATTCGGCAAGATTTATACAAATATATACAATATATATATATATATATATATATATATATATATATATATATATATATATATATATATATATATATATATATATATATATATATATATTTCTATTAAATTATAGGGGGATAAGTCTGTTGAGTATACCTGGTAAAGTGTATGGTAGAGTTATTATTGAAATGATTAAGAGTAAGACGGAGAATAGGATAGCAGATGAACAAGGAGGCTTTAGGAAAGGTAGGGGGTGTGTGGACCAGGTGTTTACAGTGAAACATATAAGTGAACAGTATTTAGATAAGGCTAAAGAGGTCTTTGTGGCATTTATGGATTTGGAAAAGGCGTATGACAGGGTGGATAGGGGGGCAATGTGGCAGATGTTGCAGGTGTATGGTGTAGGAAGTAGGTTACTGAAAGCAGTGAAGAGTTTTTACGAGGATAGTGAGGCTCAAGTTAGAGTATGTAGGAAAGAGGGAAATTATTTCCCAGTAAAAGTAGGCCTTAGACAAGATGTGTGATGTCACCGTGGTTGTTTAATATATTTATAGATGGGGTTGTAAGAGAAGTAAATGAGAGGGTCTTGGCAAGAGGCGTGGAGTTAAAAGATAAAGAATCACACAAAGTGGGAGTTGTCACAGTTGCTCTTTGCTGATGACACTGTGCTCTTGGGAGATTCTGAAGAGAAGTTGCAGAGATTGGTGGATGAATTTGGTAGGGTGTGCAAAAGAAGAAAATTAAAGGTGAATACAGGAAAGAGTAAGGTTATGAGGATAACAAAAAGATTAGGTGATGAAAGACTGGATATCAGATTGGAGGGAGAGAGTATGGAGGAGGTGAATGTATTCAGATATTTGGGAGTGGACATGTCAGCGGATGGGTCTATGAAAGATGAGGTGAATCATAGAATTGATGAGGGGAAAAGGGTGAGTGGTGCACTTAGGAGTCTGTGGAGACAAAGAACTTTGTCCTTGGAGACAAAGAGGGGAATGTATGAGAGTATAGTTTTACCAACGCTCTTATATGGGTGTGAAGCATGGGTGATGAATGTTGCAGCGAGGAGAAGGCTGGAGGCAGTGGAGATGTCATGTCTGAGGGCAATGTGTGGTGTGAATATAATGCAGAGAATTCGTAGTTTGGAAGTTAGGAGGAGGTGCGGGATTACCAAAACTGTTGTCCAGAGGGCTGAGGAAGGGTTGTTGAGGTGGTTCGGACATGTAGAGAGAATGGAGCGAAACAGAATGACTTCAAGAGTGTATCAGTCTGTAGTGGAAGGAAGGCGGGGTAGGGGTCGGCCTAGGAAAGGTTGGAGGGAGGGGGTAAAGGAGGTTTTGTGTGCGAGGGGCTTGGACTTCCAGCAGGCATGCATGAGCGTGTTTGATAGGAGTGAATGGAGACAAATGGGTTTTAATACTTGACGTGCTGTTGGAGTGTGAGCAAAGTAACATTTATGAAGGGGTTCAGGGAAACCGGCAGGGCCGGACTTGAGTCCTGGAGATGGGAAGTACAGTGCCTGCACTCTGAAGGAGGGGTGTTAATGTTGCAGTTTAAAAACTGTAGTGTAAAGCACCCTTCTGGCAAGACAGTGATGGAGTGAATGATGGTGAAAGTTTTTCTTTTTCGGGCCACCCTGCCTTGGTGGGAATCGGCCAGTGTGATAATAATATATATATATATATATATATATATATATATATATATATATATATAATATATATTATATATATATATATATATATATATATATATATATGTCGTGCCGAATATGTAAAACTGGTCAATTAGCAAGAACTCATTTAAAATTAAGTCCTTCCTGAAATTTTCTTTTATACGTTTAAAGATATATTTTTTTCATTAATGTTAATGTAGAAATTTTTAAATTTGCACCAAAAGAATCTTAGAAAACTTACCTAACCTTATTATAACAAGAGCAATTTATTTTAGCCTAACCCAACTAAATATATTCTAGATTTGTTTACAGTAATTTAATACTAAACAAACGCAGTGAAATATATTTTTTTCATTAGGTTCAGAATGATTTTGGCGAAATTATTGCATACACAAATTTTCACTTGTCCTATATGGCAAGATGAACGTTGCTATTTAAGCCAAGATCGCAAGTTCTGCCTATTCGGCACGACATATATATATATATATATATATATATATATATATATATATATATATATATATATATATATATATATATATATATATATATATATATATAATATATATATCAGAGAGAGAGAGAGAGAGAGAGAGAGAGAGAGAGAGGGTGGAGGGGGGGAGGGGGAGGGGGGAGAGTAGACACGTACCTGTGAAGCAATCACCGTAGCGAGCGAGCAGGTAAGAGTGCGATATGCAAATGTCTGTAAAGGTTCACCAATGTGCATGTACTGGGCAAGAAGCCCCGCTCAATAGCGCACTGCACTCACAGCCTTCACCAGTACTGCTCCCCACCTCATCCAACCAGGATGTACAGCACCTTCAGTGTCCTTGCTGAACAATGCACAGCAGCAGGACGATGACTGCAGCTGTTCCACGGCGCCTCAATAAAGCAACAGTACTAGTTCTGCATGTATACACACAACACGCTTCTCACCTTCACGTGGCCAGCGTCACCTCAACCTACCAGCAAATCATTATCTTGATTACTTCACAGTAAAGACATTGGGGTGACGACCTCTGCCACTACTGCAACACCGCTGTGCATGAATGGATGAGTGGCAGTGTACAACACCACGGAACAACGCACGAGTAAATAAACTCCACAATCTTGGTAATCGAGAGGAAATTGGCAGTGTGAGTGCTGGAAGGGAGGCCAGTCTCCTACATCATATTACTAGTCAGTTTATATGTAAGGTGTGTGTGTGTATGTGTTTGTGCAGGTTGGCACTGAGTGTGAAGCGGCGATGGTAGTGCGTGGTGGACCAGCAAGGAGTGCCAGACAGCTAATGGCAGGACGAGAGGGTATATGTGAGCCCGAACCGCCTCCAGGCACCACTGACACCACCTCGCAACCCAACCTACGCTACCAGCTGGGCCTGCGTCGTTACACCACCCGACCCCCTCTCCACAGTCACACTGCTCAGTCCGACCGTAAGCCAGCTGTCGCTCTCCCCTGCCCGGTGGTGCCTCAGTAGACACCACCGTCTATAGAGAACCACACTAGTGGTTGTTATTCCCTGGGGGTGGTGCCTCAGTAGACACCATAGTCTATGTAGCACCATACCAGTGGTTATTCCCTGCGGGTGGTGCCTCAGCAGACACCACCGTCTATATAGCACCACACCAATGGCTATTCCCTGCGGATGGTGCCTCAGTAGACACCACAGTCTATACAGTACCACACCAACGGTTATTACCTGCACGGTGATGCCTAAGTAAACACTACCATCTATACAGCGCCACACACACACACACACACACACACACACATACATACATACATCTGTGGTTGCTTCTTGCCATAGGCACCACCGAACTCTGGTATTTTTTTCTGGACAAATTTAACAACTGTATACACACTACATGGTACTCTTTACCACACTACCTGACACTCTTTACCACACTAACCAGCACATTCAAAGATCACAACAATGTATCAAACACCTATTAGGAAAATGGTAGGATGGATAATGAGAACCTTCAAAACAGGGACGCCAAACCAAAGATGATTCTCTTTAAATCGCCTGTTTTCTCTAGCCTGGAATACTGCTGTAAACTAACGGCTCCTTTCAAGGCAATACTAGGGCTGAGTATACTACAAACTCTAATCACACAATAGAGCGCAAAAGTAATGTGAAGGACCTGGGTGTGGTAATGTCCGAAGACCTCACCTTCAAGGACCACAACAATGCCACTATCACATCTGCGAGGAAACTGATAGGATGGATAATGAGAACATTCAAGACAAGAGATGCTAAGCCAATGATGATCCTTTTTAAATCACTTGTTCTCTCTAGGCTGGAATACTGCTATACATTAACATCCCCATTCAAGGTCAGGTGAAATTGCAGAACTAGAGAATGTACAGAGAACCTTTACTGCACGTATAAGTTTCATCAAACACCTTAACTACTGGGAGCGCCTGGAAGCATTTGACTTGTACTCACTGGAGCGCAGGCGAGAGAGATATATCATAATCTACACCTGGAAGATTCTGGAGAGACTGGTTCCTAATATGCACACAGCAATCACTCCATATGAAAGCAAAAGACTTGGCAGGCGATGCAACATACCCCCAGTGAAAAGTAGGGACGTCACTGGTACACTAAGAGAAAACGCAATAAGTGTCCGGGGCCCAAGACTGTTCAACAGCCTCCCACCAGCAATAACGGGCATTACCGGTAGACCCCTGGTTGTCTTCAAGAGGGAGCTGGACACATACCTAAAGACGGTGCCGGATCAGCCGGGCTGTGGTTCGTACGTTAGACTGCGTGCGGGATTAACAAATCCTTAGCTGTCTTTAAGAGTAAACTCAACAGATTCCCCAAAACAGTTCCTGAACAACCAGGTTGTGGTGCATACGTTTTTACTGCGGGAGGCGGGCACTAACAGCTTGATCGGTGAGGCCAGCAACCAGGAGGCCTGGTCTGGCACCGAGCCGGGGGGCGGCGACTCCTGGTGAACTCCAGGTAAACACTACCATTCACTCCACCACTACCTCCAGGCAGGTCATCGCCACCACCACTCATTACATCACTGCCACCAACCAGGCCACCGTATTTGTCAAGAATTGCAATAAACTCTTATCGGTGCCGTAAGTATGCTATAGAGGGGGAACCTAGACACGGGAGTCATCCCATAGTCGCTAAAAATAACGGATATAGCCTCACTCCACAAGGAGGCAGCAAAAAGAATTATAGCCCAATAGCTCTAACGTCCCACATTGTAAAAATCTTTGAAAGAGTTCTAAGCAGCAAGATCGCCAGCTACTTGGATTATCAACAATTGCACAACCCAGGGCTCCTAGCATGGGCTTAGAGCAGGTCGCTCCTGCCTCTCACAACTACTGAATCACTATATATGGTTTTAAATGCACTGGAGGACAAACAGAATGCAGATGTAGTATACACAAAATTTCTAAAGATCTTTGACAAGTGCGGTCACAGTGTAAAAGCGCACAAAATGCATGTTAAAGGAATAAATGAAAAAGTGATCAGATGGACCTTTAACTTTCTAACCAACAGAACACAGAGTAATAGTAAACAGAGTAAGGTAGGAGGCTGCCATAGTGAAAAGCTCTGTTCCACAAGGTACAGTAATCGTCCCCATCCTTTTCCTCATCTTCATATCTGACACAGCCATAAACCATGGCATGATGTCTTACTTTGCAGACGATACTTGAATTTGCATAAAAGTAACATCCATTGAGGAAATAAACAAAGTCTTCCAGTGGACCGCAGACAACAATATGTTCAATAACTTCAATTACTGCATTATGGAAAATTTGAGGAAATAAAAGCTAAAACGGAGGATAAAAAAAATTTAACTACACAACAGAGCGAAAAATTTATGTGAAGGTCACAGGACCGATAACGTCAAGAGGATCTCACCTTGAAGGATCACAAGTGTCATTATCACAACTGCGAGGAGAATGATAGGATGGATAATGAGAACTTTCAAAACAAGGGATGTCATGCCCATGATGATCCTCTTAAAGTCACTGGTTCTCTCTAGGCTGAAATACTGATGAAATGACAGCCCCAATCAAGGCAGGCGTAACTGCATATATGAAGAATATATAGAATCTTCACTGCACGTATAAGTTCCGTCAAGCACCTAAATTACTGAGAACGTTTGAAACCCCATGACCTGTACTCTATGAAATGTACGTGAGAAAGATGCATCATAATTACACCTGAAAAATCTTTGAGGGACTTGTCCCAAACATGCACACAGAAATCATTCCCTACGAAAGCAAAATGATTGTTCAGCAGCCTCCCATCATTCATAAGGGCGACTACCAATAGACGTTTGGCTGTATTCAAAGAGGGAACCGGACAGATAACTAAAGTCAGTGCCCGACCAGCTGGGTTGTGGCTTGTACGTTGGACTGAGTGTGGCCAGCAGTAACAGCCTTGTTGATCAAACCTTATTCCACCAGGAAGCCTGGTCATGAACCAGGTCGCGAGGGCGCTGACCCCCGGAACACCCTCCAGGTAGAAACACCACCACTAACACTGCCTCTACTCACTCCAGCAGCTCAAGGACATCGTCACCACCATTCATTCCACCACCACCAGTCCGAGTACCACCACCACTCAATCCATCACCATCAGTTTGATAAGCTCTACTCCAACCTCACTGCTAGGGTATCAAAATCAAATAAAAAAAATGTGAAAATTTGCGAGATGAATCTTAAAGAGAAGAATTAAAGTGCCAACAGTGTGGTTGTTATCTGGAACAATTCACAAAACCCACACTTGGTGTAGTCTGTTAGCCACGGTATTAGTTTACGCATTTACCTGTGACCGGTTTCCAGAGTTTATCTACCCTCGCAGCCTCGCCTGGGGGCCAGGCTCTTCTCTTGATTAATTGTTCAACCAAGTTACTGCTGTTTGCGGCCCGCTGACCCACATATCCATCACATCCTGATTGATTTGGCACTTAGCGGAGGAAGTGATACACTTTCCTCTTTAAAATTTCTATACTTTCCCGGGAATGTATACATTTGCTGGTAGTAGGTGAAGTCTTGGGCCACATCCTTGGCCCAAAGACTATTGATCCTGCTACTAGCAGTACCTGGTGGTAGTGTGCAGTAAGTTATGGTAATGTGCAGTAAATTTTGATAGCGTAGATTTGGGACTAGGCACTTTAAGTATCTCCCATGTATCTATTTTCTGGTATCTCAATCTTCTTTCCTCCAGGGAGTTGCAAGTACACTGAGGCAATGCCAGTAGTTTAAATGCTTTATTGGCCCTGGGGTGGCAGTAAATCTCTGTACCTTCTCCAGCTCTGATATATCTCCTGCCTTGAACGCAGCCGTCAACACCCAACAATATTCTAAACTTATTTGAATAACGTCACCAATAGCATTACTGCTTTTAATAAAATGAAAGCTCATCTGACATCATTATACCCAAGTTATTTGTTTGTTCCTTTACTTCTATGATATGGTCTCCTGCATTTAATTTGTATCTACTGTTCCTTTAGAGTTCTTTTTTTTTTTTTTTGCAGATTTATTATCCTTGGGAATCCCTGATACAGGATCGATGAATGGCATCATGTAAGCATTGGGCATTTGGTAGAATCTGTCGAAACCCAAGATGGCATCCACAAAACAAATGGTCACATATAGTTCATGCGTATCTACCTATCTGGAGGGCATTCCGGGGATCAACGCCCCCGCGGCCCGGTCTACTAGGTTTGTTGGTCTGCTGAGTTTGCTGTCAAAAGAAACTTGCGAAAGGTAATGCAGATTTCAATCAGGTTGACTAAATCCAGAGATTTCGTTAACCTGACTGAACTCTACATAAACTGTCACCGTTTCTTTTTCGACAACAACCTCTGCAGACAAACACGGGATGCGTACAGGTTTTCCCACCAGCGCCATCTAGGAAAAATTATACATGGGCCACAAAGAAACTGAACGGATCGCCAACATTACAGACCCCTTCCTGGGATCAAGGGGTCGTCAACTGGTATTAAGGAACCTCCAATGAGTTTCATTTTTTTTTTTACCAAAGTTCACAACTGACCCCAGATGAAAAAATGATATAGAACAGCATTAAACAAGCAGCAGTGTTTGTTTACCCCCAGGCTGACACGAGTCCAGTGTGTGGTGATGGTGGCTGGCTCTCTGAAGAGCAAACATTTATGTAAACTGCATCACTGATATTGTTGTCTCTGGCCAATTACTGGAGGATTAGTCTTCATGAACCCGTGTTTACACGCTCATTAAACCCATCCTGCTACACTCAGTTTACAAATATTTTAATGCATCACTCTGTGAGAACATTAAAATTAGCCAACTGTTAAGTGGTGGATCGGCAGTTAATGTGAATTCTCATCCCTTAATACATAAGTTCACGTTGTTATATCAAGTGGTACTAACCGGAACACCTGCCAGAGAACACTGCATAGTGTTCTCTATCATGTTTCCAAAGTTAAATATCATTACTAGTTCTGCGATAGACGTCTCAAAAAACTGATCACAATGCATCATTATTGCGAATTTAAGTTTCTTTTTAATCTAGGGCCGATCAACTGATTCCTGGAAGTGCAATACATTCACAGTCACCTCG